TCTCTACGTCTTATGACCCCTTCTCTACGTGTTGCATTATTTATTTGTAATACGTCACCCGATTTACCAAAAATCCAAACTTTTTTCAAACTCAATAATGAGGTTAATAATTGTACATTAAATATGTTTTTTACACCTTTTTTGATTGAAACAGGAGACGTACTTTAGCAAAATAATTTTGAGTCGATTTTTTTGCACTCAAGTGTATTTGTACGCTTTAGTTCTGCGATTTGAAAAGCCAAGAAAAGAAAAGAAAAGAATTTCGATTGACCAGTTCCTTCGATTTATAGGGGGGTTAGAGGAAACGGTGGAAGCCGGTGGACAGACTGAGGCAAGGTCAAATTCAGGTTTGGAATATATTTTATAGAGAGCAGACGCGGCGTGGGTAGTTTGAAGAAACCGGCAAATTTGTTGTGACAATGTGAATTATACTAGCATGTAATGTGTCAGCTTTCGCAAGAGTAGTCACTGTTTTGTTTCAAGCCGTCTCTCATCTGAGGGATTTGTAAAACGGCGTTTCCAACAAATTTGAAAAATGCCCACATGGTTACATTGCTTTTCAGTTTTTAAGAAGCCAAGTTTCAAAGTTTGCGTCCCAGTGCCCAACTTTCATCCTCATTTTGTTTGCCCCAAGTCATTCCAGCCTATTTTGCAGTGTGAGATGCAGTTTTTTGCGTTGCAGTGAATTCGAGTGCAGTTTCAACCCCAGAACTTTTAAGGGAAAAATAAGATTTAGTGAAATTCAGTTAACATTTTTTGATGAACTTTTAAAGTAAAAATATACATTTTCCACCAATAATTGGTTTCGTCGCAAGTTAAGAAATTGTAATAAGTAAAATTATACATGTTAGGGTGTGACCTAGCTATCATATTAATTATTGTCAAAGTTTTAAAATTTATTTTTGACATCTGACTGCTGGCTTTCTTTTCTTGACAATTGACACGTACCTAATCATAATTGAGATCTTGTTTAGTTTTTTTTAAACGTTAACCTTTATGCATAGTTTCATTAAAAAGATATTTTTCATTTATAATAATTTATTTCTGCTACAAAATATCGCCCATTAAAAATTGTTTTTATAGTATCTCCAACTTCTAGAGTTTGTAAACCGATAGTAACATAGTAAGTTTGTTTTTGTTATTTTGTATTACTATTTATATTTGTAACTGTTTGTGGTGAGACGACAATAAATATGTAATTTTTTTTCCTAAAAAGAGTATTATTTCTTTTAAAAAGTTTCTAACCCTTTTTTATATTTTTTAGGAAGCAACAGCCCTTCTTTCATCCAGCACGAAGATTCTTCTAAGCGGCGTCCTCATTTTAAACAGCTTAAGAACCTTCTTGTGTTGTGTTTGTTCCAGGAGATTCATGTAAGTACCCCTTCTATTTCATTTTTGTAGTTACCCTAATCCAGTCTCCTTGCCATTCACTTATCTGCCGCCCGGCTCTAAAAAAACCCTGAGTAGCCGTTCGCAAAGCCGTAATTTGCTTACCCTATCTCTAGCCCCGTAATTTCTGTCCCCAATTTTCAACCCCCTATAGTAATATCCTAGGTGGCAGGCAAAAATAATCGTTACAATTTGTCGCCCAACCAGTGGGGCTTTTGAATATTCCTGCATCTGATGCCAAAGTGGCATCAATTTTCATTTCTCTTGCGTACAAGTAGTCTTACCAAAGTAAGATAGATTCCTTTTCCCCTAGCCATTTATCTTTTTTTTTAATTTTCCCTAGTTTTCTTTCATTTATATGAAACCCCTTCTTTCGAATAGTGCCCCAGTGTCTCACAAACAGTAATTTTATATGTATTGTATATTAACATCTGTATTGTTGAATATTAACAGAATATGTAGTGTTGTTTTTTTTTAATATACTGTAGAAATGTTTGTATACAGACTGTTTAGAATTCACGGAAAATAATAAAAAGTGAGACGATCAACACCTAAGAAACCATAGACAACGCCTTCGATTTTAATAGTTTTTATAGTTCAGTTTTTAATAGTTTTTATATGTATTTACCACAGAAATAAAGTTTAGTTTACAATCACTTGTCTTAAGGTAGTTAAAGTTATTAATTTCCTCAACACAGACTATGATATATAAATTTTATGTGTATTAGTAATGAAAGCCAATATTTTCAGATTGAATATTTACATACGAATTTTAAGTGTTTATGATTTTAAATGGGGAAATGATAAAGTAAAAACAGTATTATTTAATACCGTTATTGTTTGCATTTATTTTTAATTGATTTGACAGGTTTTATAGAATAATCTGATTTTGTAACTTTGTTCGGTCATTTTGAATAAATGTGTGTAATGTTCGAGTGACTTCTGTCTGAGCTGTGTAGTTATGTTTTGACCTTTATTCCTACTAAGCTATCTTTGACAGTGTTCAGTACACTACAGGTTAGTTGGAGATTGTGAACGAGAAGTAGTCATTGGTGGTTTTAGTTGAGAAGATTCGACCAATTGTAGTCTCAGTAGCAGACTGTGTTTTTGTGTTTCCTTTCTTTGACTAGGAGCAGTCTCATTTAGTTTTCTGAACAAGAGTTGGTTATTTTGTGTAGCTCACTCAACGAGTCTAGTTTTCAATATTATTAGTGTTGTGTCTTCCCTTGTATGTACAGTTTATTGACTCTGTTGTTTCAAACCATTTTTTTAGTCCTAGATAGTGGAGATGTGAACTTTTAAGAGACAGGTTAGAGACCTCATTTTTGTTTACCAACTGATTGCTAAGTCAAGAACAGAAGTTGCGACAAACTGGATGAGTTTTGGATTTCAGTGCGTTGAGTGCAAGTGAGATTTACTATCAAGTGCTATTTTCTACTAGTTGTTGAGTTAGATTTTAATTGTTTTGTGAGTTTACTTTCATCCAATTTTTGAAAAATGAAGTCTACCCAAGTTAATAATTTGAAATCAGGAGATTTATCTTATGAGCTTTTCATAAGAGGCTTTGATGTCTCAAATAAGACATTTGATGATAAACGAAAGATGATAAGAGCTCTGTTGGCCAAGAAGGCCACTTCTTCTTTGCGTTTAGTCGATTTGATTAATAATGTAGTAGATCCTAGGAAGGAGTTACAGGAGATCAAGTTAATTATGGAAGATTTATATATTAGTGCTCAATCAATGAATGCACAATCAACAAAGGCTGATTTTGCTAGATTTGAGACAAGGTCTACACATTTAGATACCAGTTTAGAAAATTTCAATACGAACAATGTTGGGGAGGAAGTAATAAAGTTTGTCAAATAGTGTAAAGATGATTTGTTGTTGTTATTAAAAGGTGATGTGTTAGAAGAAGAGGAAATATCTCTCCCCACATTCTTAGAAAAAATTAGAGATTCTGCTAGGTCTAAGAATATTTACGAAGACATCCTGTTCCGTTCAGCCATAAAGTTATTTAAAGGTAATGCTGCTATTTGGTATAGGGGTGTTAAAGACAAAATTAATAGTTGGGATGAGTTGGCAGCTCTACACAAATCTGCTTTTTTGCCACCAGATTATAATGATAATCTGTTTTAACCTTCTTAAACGTTTAGAAACGTACCCAAAATGTGAAAATAGTAAGGAAAAATATTTTAGTGGATTACATTCCGCTAATAGCCCTGCAGGATTTTGCTACAGTTGAAATGTTAGTAACACACTATAAAACGTTTGGAGCAAAATATCCTGCCCTTGTTGCAGTATACTAAGGATCTTGCTGGTATTTCACTAGATGATTCAGAAAAACCCAAAGAACAGGTTCATGTGCTTGATAATCAAAATAAGCAAGACAAAAGTAAAGTAGTTAACAAACATGACAAGGAAAATAATTCTAGGAGACCCAATCCTAAATACAGGTATGAAAATGATCGACCCAGACCACAAGAAAATACTGAAGTAAGAAATCAGTCCTTTTCAACCCCGCCGCCAATGATGCAGTCTTTTTATGCCCGCCTCCAATAATACAGTCTTCTTCATACCTGCCTCCAATAATGCAATTTCCCCCTTCTCAAGTTTTCAGAAATCTGAGAAAGATTATTTGTTGGAATTGTAATAGGCGTGGTCATATCTCCGGATTGTAGGAGCAAGCAAATGTCTTGTTTTCGTTGTGGTCATCAAGGTGTGTCTATATCTTCTTGTCTCAGGTGTTCAAAAAAACTAGGTGATGTTCAGGCAGTCGGCAGTTGTACTTCGAATAGATCTAAGACCGACAGACCTTACAGGTTAGCGTTGAACCCAATTTTTGAAAAGAAAAATTTTGATAGTCGTCGTCCTCATGTTAGTATTTCCATTTTCTCTAGAAACTTTTTAGTTCTTTTTTTACAGTGGTTGCTCTATATCCGTTGTAGGTGACGCTGAAGTTGAATTTTTAGATTCCCAAGAAATTAAATATAATCCCACATGTATTAAGCATGTCTGCTTAGCAGATGGTTAGAATAAATCAGTTTGATCTTCCAATAGAGGCTGATTGTGTTTGTCATATGGTGAAATTTTTTGTCGTACCTTCTGTCCCTTACAATTTCATTTTGGGAAATAATTTTATGCATGAATTCTCAGTGCTCTTAAACTTTGAGGATGGGACATGGCATTCTTCCCGATAGAAGAATAAAATAGAAATTTTGTATTCCGTAGATTTATTATCCATTACCAATTCTTTTAAGGCTAATGATTTTCAACCTCCTATGGTAATACCCTAGGTGGTAGGCAAAAATAATCGTTATAAGATAAAATATTGATACAACTTCTTTAAACGACCGAAATAACTACCTTCACTGATCTCTTTAGCGCTATATATAATATAATATTGATATTATTCCGAACAGACACACTTGGTATACAAGCGAGTACGTAAATAGTACACCGACGCCGAAAGAGTGGAAGCTAGTACAAATTACTTTAATCCAAGATCGGAAAATTAAAATATTCGACCAAGAAAAAAAAACTACGTTCAATTTATATCACTATTTTTAAAAACTAATTTTATTATTCACAATTATTAAGGAAATATATATTACCTTCATTATCAGGAACCCTGAATCTTCTGAGCAATGACACAAATCTTTGTTTTAGGTTATGTCGAGTATGTGGAAGCTTTCTAATAGGTTCACTATCGGAAAGGTCGACACCTTCTTCTTCGCCTGAACTTATCTCATCCTCATCTTCACTAAAATCGTGTTCACGAATCTTATGTTCATGATCAACTGGAGTAGAGCTAAGCTGTAATACTGAAAGTCTAGCAATAGGTGAAACGTTCTTATCCTTATTATTGTTTTCTGGTAAAAGTTCAAGTTCAAAATCCATTTGCTTTTGCAGTACCTACAATCAAACGAAAATTGAAATTATTGCTAAGTCGGGAAGATGGAAATAGTTGGTGAATAAAAACATTTTAATACAAACGTTTGTGAATTGTGATGTGAGCACACACACGCACACAAACACACACACACACACACACACACACACACACACACACACACACACACACAACACATAACACACACACACACACACACACACACACACACACATATATATATCAATATGTATATATATATATATATATATATATATATATATATATTGTTATGGTGTGTTGTTGTTGTATGAGCAATGAGTAAATTTGAATGATATATGTAAGTATAGGGTTTTTATCGCGGTTCTCAAAGAATTAGTTTGTAAGTACTTTTTTTAAATTATCTTTATTATAAATATTATGAAACAAACCTATCTATCTAATATAAGCAATATCAATTTAAAACAATCTATCTAAAATTTGAAATTCTTACAATTATTAAATTATTAACAAAATTTGGTACCTTCTTTCACTGAACGCCCAAAGTTTTTCCAAAATTAAAGTTACTATCACCACTCGATATCTTCTTACTAAGCCTTGGTTATCCAACTATGTTAATATGTTCCTTATTAATTATCTCCACTCACCATATAAATATATATTTAACTCCTTGCAATTTCCATATACTTAATGTACTTTGAAATATACTGGATCTTGTGGTTGTATTATTGAATGCTTATTTCAATGAATTAACTTCAAAACTGTCACTATATTACTGTAGTAATAATTAATCTCCAACTGTATTTAACTTAATAATTCATTTAACTTAATCAATGCCTTCTTCTAGCATTGAATAATCTCTTCATAACCTCATAAATAACTGACTTAATAATCCTTAAATTGTTATAACTAACTCCTCAATAATAATCTTATAACTGATTCAATATCTTCTAACTCGCTTAACTCAATTAATAATCTTCTTGTAACTAAATTCTTGAATTATAACTTTACTAACTGATAACTGAACTGGTAACTGAACTGAACTTTAACTCTAACTCAAACTGACTAAACTGAACCCCTGGTCCAAATTACATGGCTTTTTATATGTTTTTCATTGTTTCCAGAATACTCTAGCAACAAATAATGTCCGAAACCTTCTATTTGTTCTATATGAACAATCTGGAAAGATTTCCTGCCTGTGATGTATTATGTAAATAGTCCCATTGACATTTCTAGAGTTTTCTATGAACAATTTACTTAACTTTAGGCTCTCCAGATCAGAACTACACTATTATATGTAACTTAAACATTTATATGAACTATATTTTTACAATTTTACATTCACAATTATATTCTAAATTAACATTCCAAAAATAAATAACTTTTTGACTTTGACACTACAGTGTATGCTTGGTTGCATATGCTGACTAAAAATATTTAATATTAAATAAAATAAAAAAAATTTCTTAAACTTATGCTAAATTCTTAAAAATACCCTCATATAATTATTTTTTATTAATATTATTTAGTATATAACTTACAAATTATGTCTCTAACCACTATTTAAATAAATTTCTTAATATTGTATATCTGGTTGTATAAATTTCTAAGTTAATTTATTGTATTTCTGTTTTCATTATAATACCCCAAAATTCATTTTAAAATAAATAATTCGTTTATTATTATTTTTTTAAAATTAATTTTCCTATCCATACACATTTGTAAATATATTAATTAATATAATTCAATATTTTAATTTTTTATTTAACATTCCCTCATACTGCGCCTATGTAATCTATGTTCCATGTCAAATGTCAAATTGTCATGTCAAATGACAAAGATCATATGTTTATTTAACTAATAAGTTTCTACACAATGTTTGTTTATTAATAGACTAGATTTAGGAAATAATTCTTTCTTTTGGTTCAAAAGTCTTTCTTTAGTATAAATGGTAAGTCTTACTTTTCATATGTCAGTAGAAAAATATTTACAAAATTAATCTTATGGATATATATAACCCCAATTCAAATTATATTATAAATTAATGTAAATTATATGATAGTGATTTTATACTTAACTCTAATTATAATTATGGTTTTTAAGACCGAAACAGAGGACAAATTCAATAGCTGCTCAAGACATGATGTCAAATTAATAATTGATACATTATACTACAAGGATTATATTTACCATGTGTTTTGTCAACAAACAAGATTGTCTAATGGACTAGAGTTAAGTGTTTAGTGAACTGTTTGTGATGTTAACAGTGTTAACAGTATATAAAACATTATTCCATCTCTTCAAAATATTTAAAAATGTCATTAATATGAAAAATTCCTCTTAGTTTATTCCATGCATCTATCAACACATAGCTGTTCAGTCCATTTTGGTTTTGAACTATGTATGGACCTTCAAACAGTGGTTGTAATTTCTTACAACGGTTTTCTCTTAAATTTCCTTGTCTAAGTGAACGAATTAAAACTTTGTCTCCTTTTTGAAATGTCCTTTGAATGAATTGAATTGAATCTCCTTTAATTGTTCGATTTTGTCTTCTGATATATTTTTCAGCTTTTCTTTGAATTCTTCTGTTCACCTTTTGCATGACTTGTTCTAACATATCTTGTGTACACTCAGAAATCCACTTTCTATTTCCTATATGACCAAACATTAAATATTCTGGTACTTCCTCTGTGTTTAAATTATGTGTATTATTTAAAAAATATTCCACTTCTTCAATATAATCCTGCCATGTGACCTGTTCACCTTGGCATAGTATCCTTAAATATTTTATAACTTCTTTTATATATCTTTCTGCAGGATTTGCTTGAGGATGTCTAATACTTGTAAAATGAATGTTGATCCCCTTTTTCTCACAAAACGTCTGAAATTTTTGATTGTTAAAATATGTAGCATTATCTATTATACAATTTCTAAATGGTCCTATTTCTTCGAAAAACTGATTAATATATAATTTCAATGTTTTAACATTTGTTCTTGAGCATGGATATAGTTTAATAAATTTTGTATATAAATCAACTATCACTAATATATGTTTGTTTCCTGTTGGACTGGGAACTAAATTTGAGATGAAATCCATGGCAACTGTATTTAGTTTTTCATAAGCAACATTGGATTTATATGTGTTCTGGTTTTTGAAATTCTTTTCTTTGTTTATTTGACATATTTGGCATTGTGTAGTAATTTATTTTACTATACTTATGTCATTCTTTGCAAAATAATTATCTCTAAATAACATCCAAAGTTTTCTTGAACCAATATGCATGTAACTTTTATGTAAATCTTTCAATATCTTTCTTGCCAAAATTCTACTTATAACATACACTTCTAAGCCATTAATTATTTTATAAAACACCCCATTTTTCTTAAGGACTTTTTGTTTTTCATCCAAATTGATTTGATCTCTTATGATTTCTTCTTTAGAATATAATCCAGTGTTTTCTACTAACTGATTTAATCCAATTTTTATTGTTCGCTGCCCTTTTTGTGATGTATTTTCTAACCTTGACAAAGCATCTGCCAACATGTTGGATTTTCCAGCAATGTATTGGATTTCAAAACTGTATTCACTCAGTATTAGGCTCCAACGATGTACTCGACTGTTTCCATATTTGCTATTTAATATAGATGTTAAAGCTTGGTGATCTGTTTCTATAGTAAATTCATTACCCAACAAATAAAATCTTAATTTTGTGACACAGTGTATGATACTAGCTAGTTCTAGTTCTGACACTGAATAACCTTTTTCATGTGGCTTTGTAATTCTTGATATGAATTGTATCGGGTATTCGACCCCATCATGTATTTGTAGTAATACCCCTGATAATCTTTCTATTGAGGAATATGTTCTTAATATGAATGGCTTTGTATAGTCAGGATGGTATATTTTTAAATTTGACAGAAAAATGTTTTTGATTTCTTGGAATGTTAGTTCTCTTCGCTGGTCCCATTTCCATTTTACACCTTTCCTCAGTAGTTCAAGTAATGGAATTTCTTTTATACTTAGATCTGGTATCATCCTTTTATAATAATTAATTATTCCAATAAATCCTCTTAAAGTTCTTAAATTGTGTGGTGTTCTATATTCCTGAATAACCTGTGTCCGTTCTGGATCCATTTCAATTCCCTTAGTATTTAGTTTATAACCTACATATATTACTTCTTTTTGAAAAAATGTACATTTTTCTTGATTTATTTTTAGTCCAACTTTGTCTAATATGTTCATTATTATTTTTAGGTGTTCCGCATGCTCTTCAGCAGTTTTAGAAAAAATTAATATATCATCAATGTAATGAATTACAAATTGTTCATATTGATCCAAAATATCATGAAGACATCTACATAGAGCACTGCACGATGATTGAAGTCCAAATGGTACCACTTTGAATTGATATACTACTCCATCTATCTGAAATCCTGTATATTGTCTACTTTTCCTTTTTAGAGGTATTAACCAAAAACTATGCTGTAAATCAATTTTAGTAAAAAATGACATTCCTGTTATTCTTGTTAGTATTCCATCTACACTCATTGGTGCTTCAAATTGCTTTTCAGTGATCTTGTTAATATTTCTTGCATCCAAACATAGCCTGATTTCACCTGATCTTTTTCGTACTACCACTATAGGGTTAATGAAACGTGTATCTGCCTTCTCAATGATTCCATCTTCTAACATATTATTAATTGTTCTATTTACTTCTTCTCTGTATTTATATGGTATTGGGTACGATTTTCTTTTAAAATCTTTTTCTTCTTTTACTTTTATACTATGAATATAATTGTGTGCAATTCTATTTTCTTTATTAACAAGTCCCTTGTGTTGCTGCAATATGGAAATGAATATTGATTTATATTCTTCAGGGCAACTTAAAACTTTTATCATATCCTCTTCTTTACAAATAAAATTATTTTTCATTATGTAATCATTATTCCTTGCTTCCAGTTTTACGCACTCCGCCTCGTAGGCATCCATCTGCTTTTTTCCATTCCTTAAATATTCATTACA